GTGGTGAGTCACCAGACACCTTTGAGAGATGATTGACAATCGCTGTTAGCATGTTTTGACAGGAACTGTTGCACAAAGTCACACTGGGCGGTGACTAAGTTCTATTCAAGGCTAAAAATAGTCTCCCACTTGTCTCTTTGAGTCATCATTTAATGAATGCAGAGGTTGAAACATTGATTCTGCAGGAATGTTATAAATGGTTTGCGAATTTCTGTTACCAGGCAGAATATATCCAGCTGTGGGTTTTGAATCAACTGACATGAAAAAAAATTATAGTGAATTTAAAAATGTTTTATGCTGTATTTAATTGTTATTTAGATTTTCTCATAATTTCTTTACTTGTTACTCACATATGGAACCAGGTTCTGAAATATCAGTGGGTACCTTGTTACAGAAGATTGTTTTAAGTGTCACGCTGCCTGCTGTCGCAGCAACATCACTTGTGTTTTGAGGTGTCCTGTGAAATTTCAATCACACTTATCCAAGATGCTTAAGTTGGCATTCTTTTATGGAAGCGTTTTATATGTGTGTATACATTAAGAGTTTAGAAATGGCTTATGTTTTGACAGTTAAAGAGATTACTATTTGCATCTTCAAGAAAGAAGTAGCTCATTGTATTTCTTGCATTCCTCTGTAGCACGGGCGGATGCAGTGCTGATAACCTTAGGGGTTCGCTGTCACAGCAATTCAGGTTTGGGCAGGCTGTGTCTCTCTGCAAGCCTAACCCACGTAGATAACATGTAGTACACGTATAAATGAGGCTCAATAGCTGAACAGAAATGGTCAGTGGTAACTATGGTTGGGCATCGGTAGATCTTGTTAATCCATTTTGTACCAACAAATAAATATTGAATACTCAGTGTTGCCCTGTTCTTGCTAGGAAACAGATGTGAAATTTCTGTACAGATGCTTTATCTATTTAAATTAGACCGTTTTTATGTTGGCAGTAACTTTCAAATTGTGATTTATAACCCACACAGTCAGGGTTATGAAATGTGCTGTTGATGTTACATCATTTACGGGAAAGGGAACACGCTTGTTCTCTTTTCATGCGTCTGGCCACGTTGTTTATTAGGTTCTCTTTACTCATACAGAAACTGCCACCTCTGTTTTCCATCCATTTTCATGTCTTGTATTTCTTAATTCTGTCATCAGATTTTTGCAAAATTTGGTTTAAGAGATAGACTTATTAATCTTAGAAATGCATGTATGACTTTTGTGTTAGTGTTTCTTTGCTTGAGGCCCATATGAACTTTCATTTTTAACTTCTCACCAATAAAATGTTATTTCAGGCATATGCATCTGTTTTAATATCTGAACACTTTTTTATATGAATCAAAACACTTACAGTCGGCCACCTTCAATAAGAGATGTTCATTTAGCCCATCGTCAGTGTGTGTTGGTGAACTCACATAATTTAATATACGTTATATGTCTGTGTCGGTGTATTTAATCATTTTGAGTGTCACACTGTGTGCCTAGTTTCGCAGCCTTGAGGAAATTCACGTAATGTTCAAGTTTGATATGAAAATAATGTTATTTATTGGAATTTTACTTTCATGCCCGGTTTTGTCTGATGATTCATTGTTTCCAAATTAAAAAATACATAAACTAGTTTCACTATCACGATATAGATTTTATAACTGTGATCCAGATGCATAAACTTTCAGCTTGAAGGTTTGATCAAACTCTGTTTATAGAAAGTGTGGGAGGTGGATGTGTACAGACTGATAAACATTCAGGGAGTAATAGATAATGTTTTCTTTGGCATAAAACTTTATGAACTGCTACTGCTGCTCCTTCCAGCTGGCGTGCAGTACCTAACAGTGTGTCGTGTAATGCGTATGTCGGGAAGTGCAGCTACTGAAATGCTTTCTTCCATACTGTTAACCTCGTGTTTCAAGTATAGTTTATTTATTAGCGATTAATCACTGAGATTAGAGATCTTGTACTGCTGACCTTTTATTGGCTATTGAGCATACTTTAATTGTCCAAATAATGTTCTGGGTTTGAAGTTAGTTTGTTATTGTTTCTCTGTTGGCAATAGTTCCATGACTATAGTTGTTTATGGCTGTTAACAAGTTACTGTATTAATGCTGTATAATGACTCATGAAATAGCTATAAAATTTGTAAGAAGGGATTTTCAGGTGAAAAATAAAATATATTCCAGTAGGCGTAAAAAATTTGCTACAAAGACTGGATCTGGCTTCTTGGTTCCTGACCCACATTTTTATTTTGAAGGTTTATTGAGATACTTGATTAAATAAGGATATTTCTGTGCTATGAATTGTTAACGATTGTGAAAGAAGTTGTTGTAATATATTTGAAAGCATTATCCTGTATGTTATGAAGGGACTGAGGAAAATGCATATTCATCAGAGACTTGATGTTCTCATTATGGTGCAGATGTCATTTGGTGTCTTCTGTGTTGTAATACTATGCAGTCTTTAGCTACCTGAAAATGGGGGTGGTACAGTCCTCAAACACATTAGTAGCCACCTTTGAGACCGTACGGTGTTACGACAACAAAACTGCAGTTGGCACATGTTTTTCAGTTTGGTAGCTGTGATTTATTAATATCTTGTACACACAGGTGTGGGTGTTAAGGACTTATAAAGGTTTTCTGAAGAAGTTCCCCACCCCCATATGTGTGCATTGCGTAGTGCTTAAAATGTACGAGGGTAAAATTTAATCTTACCTTTCCCAAGAAGCATGTCTTTGTGTGGGAAGATGTGCAGATCCAAATTTTGTAATACAGAATCATTATTTTAATACAAATAATAATTTTTAATCCAGTGTATTCAATAGCTTGAGGTACTGATGAAAGGGTAGAGCATTGGTTTACTGTGTTGAGGGTTAGGTTCAGAATCAAAGAAGCCAGTGATTCCTTGGGAGATGAAAATAGCTGAAGCATGATCTTGACCACTATTCATGCCAAAGTATGAGAATGGGTGAAGTTTCACCGTCATACCCCTGTTTGCCTTACATGTTTATGATGATTAAACATTGGGATGACTTTTCTTTATGTAGTAAACCTGAACAGTGGATCTGTTGCCAGTTAGAAATGCTAACAATGTTTCTGATTGCTGCCTATAAAATCAAGTTTATTTTATTTATCACAGAAATAATTTCATGATGCACTAGTGCCATGCATAGCTGGTGGTGCATGAAATATTTGGATTTCACGTTTTGTTTGATCTTTACATCTAACTTGTGTGTGTTAATTGTTTCCTGACTTTTATTTTTTTGTTTGCATTTTTTTTAATATACTTTTTCCAAATATTTGTTTAATTGTCCATTTATATGAGTTGTTCAGAAGTAACCCTACTACTCCCGTCTCTACCACCAGAAGTAAACTTCAAATTAAGAACTTTCAGTAACTTATACATTTTCTCATAATCACCAGAAATTAACAACATATACTTCCTTAAAAGACACGGTGGTCTAGCGGTTAGAACGCTGGCCTTGTAATCCTGGGGTCTCGGGTTCGATTCCCGGCGGTGCCCGAATTTATAACTTGTGTTGGGCAAGGCCGTGGTCTAGGCAACACGGAGTTTTCCTCCGTGGCATCCCAACAATTACTCCATTCACACACAGAAGAAGGCAATGGCAAACCACTTCTGGATCATCTGCCAAGAACGTATATGAACAGGTCCCAGTCCGAGAAAAGGATGGAAGGATCCTGTTCATATGGACCTGTCGTCAGACAGAACACTAAATAAATAAAATACTTCCTTAAAATAGCCATGCTAATGAGATGTATGTGTGTAAAACTGATAATATTTAAATCAATATTCTTAACCAGTAGGTTACCAAAAGTAATTTGTCAATCGTAGACTGGACGTATTCACCACAGTCTTACACTTCACACATCATAGTGCATGTGCTGATCGCTGCAAAATGTGTGTCTGTACTATAAGCCAGTTGTGTGCTTGAAGGGCTGTAGAGCAGTGTGAAGTTAGCATTCTAGAGGAAACGCTGAGAATCGCAGGTATGATAAAAGGTGCTGCTTCTCATACACTGCGTAATATACTACTACTCGCGTTCCATCCAGTGCCAAGGGCTTTCTTAATTTTTTAAGGATTATTGTTTGTTATATTAGCAGAAATTCCCATCTGTGTTTGCATACGTGCTTTGATGCTCATCTTGACAATATTCACATTGTTTTCTTCTGTTCATACAAGGGATTGATTTTTCCTGCCATAAAAATAACACCTAACTTGGGTCTGTTGTTTGTGCGTGATCCTGAAGATTTAGTGAAAGAAAATTTTTGCCCTTAAAATTTCCGTAAAGGACTTTGTCTTTAAAAGGTTAATCATTATGAACATAAATGTTTCCTAAATGATGCGATCAGTTATTGCACAGTTAACACATGATTTCAATGAAAGCAAGTGCAATCTGGCTGCATATTGCATGTGCAGCTGTTGTAGTCACTGTCCGCTCCCTGTAGCTTAGTATTATGAGTCTCTTTTGTCTTGAATATTGTTTAGTATTGCACGTGCAGCTGTTGTAGTCGCTGTCCGCTCCCCGTAGCTTAGTATTACGAGTCTCTTTTGTCTTGAATATTGTTTAACTGGTAATATTCATTTAGTTTTCTTTTGTTCAGAACCGAATGTAAGGCCATTTTGTATTTACTAAGAACATATGTTTTATTGCATGAAATAAAACATTGTAAAATTGAGACATATTTTTTAAATACGTTTGTGTGTAAATTACTTTCATTTTTCTTGTCTGAGAATTTGATTGTTTCCTTTTTGTCTTGGATTCATCTTCTAACTTCATAAATATTCTTATTTGTAATTAACTATCTTTGGAACTTTGTGTTATTCATATTCCAAATGTTTATTTCCATGGGGTCATATGCTGATTTTGTCTCTGAAATTAACCTTTTTTTCAACTCTTTAAGTGATTGTAAATGCCTAATGTATTTGAGGGTTAATTTCTTTGTACATGTTCAAATGTTTGTGTACTTGTGGAAGCCGCACACAGATTTCCGTTTGTAGTTATGTTTGTGTAATGTATGTTTTATTCTTACTTTAATTTTAACCGTACTCATTGTGTATTATGAATGCCTCAGATATCGTGTCTGTCATCAACACTTGCTCAGAGGTGGGCATGGAGTAGGAGTTTACCAGTTATTAAACAATCGAGACATTAACCATTTTAAAAATTGTAAATTTGATGTCTTCTTGGCCTTGTAGTACAGTACATGTATAGGCTTACGAAGTAATGTTATGCAGTGAGGTTCTGTGTTGTGATATTTGTTGTCCTTCCTGACAGTATCGGCAAATGAGGCTGCTTTGGGCATGGTAGTGGAGCTGACTGAAGCTAAGTTGCTGGAGTTAATTGAATCAGCATACCCAAACCCTGTTACTGTTGAGGAACTGGCAACGCAGCATGGCTGGGCTGCAGATGCTGTCAGCGAAACACTGACTACTCTTCAAGAAAAAGGGTTGGTTCAGGCTCTGGAGCATGGGGCTTTTACCCGTGCAGGAAAGGCTGACTCTCACATTCAGGTACATTTTATGATGCTTAATGGCACAGTGGAAAATTAAGAGATTTCCCTTTGACTATTGGGTTTAATAAATGAACTGTATTTTCTTGCCAGAACGTAACTTTAGAATTTTCATTTTAATAAGTCGTCCGTAGACAAATGAAAATGGATGTGTAAGTTTTTACTCTTATTCGTTTTTGTGTCAGGGCTTCGTACTATGGCATGAAGCCACAAAGCTTACAGCTAAAGGAAGTCTGAAACATAATACAGAGTAGAACTCCATGGTAAAGGATCTTACTACAAAACATCACAGATACTCATGTGGTCAAGACATTTTATGCTGTTATGGATCTCAAAGGTTAGCCACTCATCACAGAAACCTGTCTTCGGACCCGCTGTTCATACAGTTCAGTCCAATTTACATCTTCATGATCTGTTTCTTTAAAAACTATTTCAGTATTTTCCTCTGATGTACATCTAGGTCTCCCAGGTGGGTCTCTGGCTATGTATTTTCCAACCAACATTTTGTAAACACATTTGTGTGTCCCGTAAATGATTAGTTTGCTCGCAAACAGTGAGGTGTTAGTGCTTTCAAAATTACAGTATTGTGAAGACACTATATGTGAAATGTACCTTTGATTTGTTGAGTTAGTCAAAGTGCCACTCGTATTTTGTGCTTTCGCGCCAGGTGGTGCGGCAGATGCCAAAAATGGCGAAGTCAAAACAGCCGACCATTGCTGTCATCACAGCACAGTACTGTGAGAAGTTAGCAGTTGATTCCATGCTCGAGAATAAGGAGACATTTGTCCGTTACACAACTGTGGGTAAGCTTTCAATTTTACATTTTTCTTATTTAGATTATAGAACAGTTGTCTCTGTAGTGTAGTATTTAATGAAACTATTAGCTGGCTCAAGTATCATTATAATATGAAAAGCAGAGCTGCGCCCCGACTTGCTGAATGCAACTCCCATAACACTGTCCAGCACACAGATCAGCTGATCATGATTAAGCTGTATTTATTTTCCATCGACACTGAAAATATTTAGTTCCTTTTACAGAATTGCTTTAGCTTAACGTCATCATTGTCGCATTGAACTGTATCAGGAAAAGTTTTATCTTCTTCATGATGAAACTTTTTCTGGTGTAGTGTGATGCTGATAAACTTGTACTGAAACACAACCATGATCGATCTACGTACATTAAGGTGGTGTTGGAAAATGAGTTATTTCAGTCTGATAAGGCACTACAGCATTCTGAGATTTCAGGTTCTCATGTCAGTGATTATGAAAACGAATGGAATGTTGCGCCATGAAGTCTGGTATAAGTTCATTGATGTTTCAGGGGTGCTTACTACTTCCTTCATCAGGGCAGCAAGCACCTCTGAAACATCAGTAAACTTCTACCAGACTGCATGGCGCAGCATTCCATAGAACTCACATTCTCTACAGAAGTGTTTACAATAGACCGAACGATAGTTGATCAGAAGTTATTTCTTATTCTGTCTTAATTATCTGAGAACATAAAAGGCAAGACTTAAGGGGACATGTGAGAAATAAATATGCAGTTTTAGGTTAGGTTATTTTTGTATGTTCTGATCTTTCTAGCTGGTTCTCTGAACAAGGAGTAGCTTTGGAAAACTCTACATTAGAGGGCTAACATTTAAGTATATTCCTCTTCTAAATACAGGTGTACTTGTCGAGCATGGTTTGCAGTTCTGGTGCTGAGTTATGAGTGTATTTGTCAGAATATTTTTTTAACTCAGGTATGTCACCCGATCAGCAGCCGTGCAGCCCTCGGCACAGGCGTCGTGTCAGATTTGGTAAGATGCTGCCGCATCTAAGATGTGATGACGATGCTTCTGCTTTTGTTCTTTTGTTATCGTTTGTGATGTTTTGGTTCTGGTACTGCACATTGCTTCACTCAGACTAGTTTATAGAATTTGCCATACAGAGCGTCTGACAGTGTGGATTGAAGCATTTGAAAGAAATACGGTGCAATAAGTTTGTCTCACAGGGATTTTATAATCTGTGTAATCAGTCTACATTGTACATGCTAACTTAAAACCATAATAAACACATTAACCCTGTCTGAGATTTTTGGATTTTCTAAGTGGTGTAATGGTGATCTTCCTAGTTGTGATGCCTCCATCTTCAAAGTGAAGGTTCACCACACAGTGTTTTTTTGTAGTGGGGAGTTGTTAGCACCCCACCTAACCCCCAAACTGGAGGACCACCCCTTGTCAACTGTCTGCAACTGCTTATGCAATATATTTGAAGCTCTCCTGTATATATGTGGATGCTGTTTGTTGTCTTCATTCGCAATAAGATGATGGGCCATGCCGTGGTGACAAGCGACCCATTTGATTTGGTCTTTCTATTGTTGGTACTGTAATAATTTTAATTTTATTTTAGCAGTTTAGAGTCACTTTCTGAGTTTTTTTAGTATTTGTTTTGTTCCACAATAAATATTATTCGAAATTGGTTTTGGGAGGAAGTTGATAAACATTTCCTGAAATTGTCAGACACTCTTGATGAAGCAAGTGCACGGTTTGTGGGTCGTGCTCCAGTCCAGAGGCCAGCGTATTCCAGCACTACAGCACTGCTTTCGGCTTTGCAGGTCAACATGTGGGGAAAATGTTAGCATAAGAGCATAAGTAGAATGGAATGTCAGGCCTGGAAAGACTATGAGGAAAAGTAGATGTGTTCTACTGTCAGTAACTGGACCATCAAACTAAGCACCTGTCCTGGTGGGGTAGTTGCTATTGACAGCTTTAATTCATATTTCATCATCATAAGTCTCCATTGTATGTCTGTCACATTAATGCAATATTTCTGAATGGTAGGAGGATGTTTGCTATGTGGGAAGTTGCATTATACAACGAATAGAGAAATAAATATGATTTTCCATATATTATGTGTTTTAAGATTTTAAGGTGAAATTTATGATAAATAATACCTTGTTGGGAAATTTGAATCTCACCCAAATTGAAACTTGCTTGAAATGTTGCTTAGAACATAGAACCAAATTGTGAACTTGTCCTGTTTCTGCTATAAGTCTGGGGTATTTGTTGTATTCAGGGATACATTAAGTGTGGGCAGACAGTGCGTGTAGTCCGAGAAGTTTGCTTTGCAGGCTGTCTGTTGGGTCTGGTGGTTCAGTGTATGTCTAGTCTGTTGTACAGGTGCTGGTACGATACTGACCTTAATTGTTGGCTGCTTTTGTCATCTGTTGGATACTCATATGTTATTTTATATTTGTAACCTTGAATTTTACATTTCTTTTAAACTCGTGCCACTCCATTTTATATTCCAGGGAAACTGTAACAAAAATCCTGTTGCCCTGACAAAATTTAGTTGGGCTGTATTAGGCCTCGTATATTTTCAGTCATGCGAACGAGATCTTACTTTCAGTGTCCATAGAGAAACTATTATGCATGAGATAACTATTACTATCACTGAACATTGCAACATTCGACTACAGCATGTCTTAAACGTGGCAACTCAAGTAATTTAAATGCTGTATTTCTCTGTGTTTGGATGATAGTGACCTGTTCTGTAACGTCATATGTGGCATAATGCTAAACTCATCCTACTATGAATTTGTATATAATGGATGTGATTGGCGTCATTCTTTAAAGGTGAATCAAATGTTTACACACTGGGTAACATCGGAGCTCACCGCATTGTGTGCACCAAACTGCCAAGTGTGGGCCACACGAGGGAGGCCATGACAGCTGCAGGCAACACCACCACAAGGCTTCTTGGTAATTCATGCATGACAACTTTTGATTAGTACATCCTTAAAGGTATCATGTGTATGGTTTATGGGATGTGAATTTTAAAGCATATAGAAGGAAGTGGTCGTGGCCTAATGCAAGATACTGTCCTGGAATTTTCCTAGAGGGACTGAGTAAAATAATTAAATATTTAATCAGAGTAACCTGCTGGAGGGCAAGATTTGAACCCAGGACCTCCAAAATACAAAGCAGGTACATGTCTGTTCAATACTTCAGTTCTTGTAAGATTTGAGGTTTTCACAGCGGTGAGTATGAAGATTTCCGTCTTCTGGGTTGTTGCGCTGTGTAGACTGGTCTATGTTAACCAACGTTTCAGAAGTCATACTGCCTCCTTCATCAGGGCGATGAATAAGCCAATAGGGTGTGTGGGACTAGGTTTATAGGTGCCGGAATGTGAATGGTGTACCTATGCACCTATAAACCTAGCACCACACACACTATTGGCTTATTCATCGCCCTGATGACGGAGGCAGTATGACCTCTGAAATGTTGGTAAACTTCTATCATAGCACATGGCACAGCAGCCCAGAAGGTGGCCATGAAGACCTCAGATCCTACTTAGGTTGACATTTGTTAGGCATCTGCATTAAGAATACAGGAAGTACAGAAATTAATCCTAATGTTATGTTATTGTTTCAGGAACATTCCAGAAGGTGGATTATGTGTTCCTGGTTGGAGTTGGGGGCGGGGTTCCCCATTACACAGACTACAGCAAGCACGTTCGTCTCGGTGACGTAGTGGCCTCATACCCTAATAGCCCTAATAGGTAAAATTCTCATCCTCCAGTAAACCCTGTAACGAATGACGTTTCTTCACAAAGCCTTCATTAATAGTGTTTTGACCTTTCTGTCTTTCGC